AAAAGAATCACACAATACTGTTAGAGTTGGAAGTAACCTTAAACATTATTTAATTTATCCATTTTATACTGCAAAGAAGCAAGTAAAGCACATAACACCTAGAATCTGACATTGCTAACCACTAGTTACTTAAAATTCTATGCATTTTGTGCTTTCATGAACTCTCTGGTTTCTCCTCCTCCACTTCTGATCACTAGAATAATTTCTTCAAGGCCGTTCTCTCTTCCACTACTTTTAAAATGGTAATCCCTTGGCCCAATGCTCTTTCAACTTTACATGCTTGCTTGAATTACCCATTCTCCTGGTTTGAAAACCATCTGTAGATAACTCCTAAAATTATTATCTCTTCTCTTAATCTTGTCTTAAACTCCAGATATAAATATCTACTAGATACCTGGATGTCTCACATACATTTAAAATACATATGTAAATTCAAAATCCCTATTTGCCCCTAAACCAGAAAAGCTGCTTCATTTAATAGCATCACTGCCACCCACACACCAAATCTAGAACCTAGAAGACCTCTTAGACTCTGATCCCTTATTCCCCAAATCAATTAATTACTAAGTCCTGCTGATTTTATCTTAAGTCTCTCAGGAATCACTGTCCACTTGGCTTATTGCCTAGTGGTTTGAAACCTTTGTGTTATATTTCAGTAGTTTTTTGGTTATTTCAGGCAGTGGAATAAATCGGGTTCCTGTTACTTAATCCCAGCCAGAGAAAGACATCCTCCAGTATATCTTATATTGTAGAATACCGATATAGCTACTAGTTTATAGTGTAAAGATTTTTTATTTTACTTGGAATCTCAAATTGAAATATTTTCCTAGAGCTGTCAATCATGTAACCCAATACTATCTTTCATGTTCTCTATTGCAGAACTATTCAAAATGATATCAATAAAAAGATAATTATACCACCTTATTCCATTATTTATATGATAGATAAGAGGGAATGAGGTTATTTTTAATATAACTACTTCTATTATCATGAAATAACATTTAGGGCTACAGTAAACTTTAAACAACTAAATATTATTGGTAGCTATCATATTCTAAACCATACAATGGTGTCAACTTCATCTTCCACAAAGCAATAAATATCCACCTAGGATAGTATCTAAATACAAGCCCTAGGCATCCTTTCAGTAAGTAACATTCCTCTTGATATTCCCATTTCTCTTTTTTTTTGTTATTAAGTTTTCTAAGGGGCTCCCTATAAGATACCTCATACCATGGCACTTAGCCTTTTCCCAGCTAGACCATGACAACTATTATGTCTCTTCTGTTTTCTCAGAATATAGCCTAACACCTAACAAAAATTAAGTGCTAGATGTCACCACTGTACAATGGCTATCTCTAGGGGAGAAGGACAGGTAAGTCAACATAAGGAGTTATTAGGATATTTATTAAACGGATTCATGATGGCTGAGATTGGTGAAATATAGCTGATGTCACTAAAACAGTCATATTTCTGCAAACTAAGAGTTAAAAACCATAACAAAAGAATGACAAGGCACGCTTTCTTCCTCCCATTCTTCTCTTAACTTTCTTAACAAGCAGCATGCTCAGAAAATAAACACTGTAAAGGACTGCTAAAATCAAGGTTATTGGCTCTTATATTAAGTAGTATTTTTATGAACTGGAAATGTTTTGGATGATTTCCAAAAAGTCTTTATGACAAGTATGTATTTATTATAGGGATTAGACTACACTATAGCTATGCATAATGTGTCTATAACCATCAGTATTCATTTTCTATGCTATATAAGAAATCTCCACAAATATAACAGCCTAATACAACAGACATTTGTTGCAGTTTCTGTGGGTCAATAATATGGGTATGGTTTAGCAATCTTGTAGTTTCTGTGGGTCAATAGTCTGGGCATGGCTTAAATACTTGAATTATGGACTCAAAAAGCTGCAGTAAAAGTACTGACCATCTGTGTTTTCATCTAGAGGCTCACCTGGGGAAGAATACACTTCCAGACTCACTCTAGTAGTTGCTTTAGTTGCTCACAGAGACAATTTCTTCACATTTGTAGGATGAAGGGCTAGCTGGAGTGTAGGACAGACTAGGGATTTCATAAATATTTTCTGAATAAATAATTGAAATTTCATTCAACTGCTAAATTTTGAACTTAATCAAATCTCCTTTATTAAGTGCCACTTTTTTTTTTTTTTTTTTGGAGACAGAGTCTCACTCTGCTGTCTAGGCTAGAGTGCAATGGCATGAACTCAGCTCACTGCAACCTCGGCCTCCCTGGTTCAAGCAATTCCCCTGCCTCAGCCTCCCAAGTAGAAGGGTTTACAGGTGCATATCGCCACACACAGCTAATTTTTTTGTATTTCAGTAGAAAGGTGTTGGCCAGGTTGGTCTCAAACTCCTGACCTCAGGTGATCCACCTGCTTTGGCCTCCCAAAGTGCTGGGATTACAGGCGTGAGCCACCACACCCAGCCAAGTGCCACATATTTTTAACATTAAATTTAACTAAGGCTGAGCGCAGTGGCTCAGGGCGACAGAGTGAGATTCTGTCTCAAAAATAAAATAAAATAAATAATTGGAAAATAAAGAGGAAAAAAGCTAATAGCCAAAAGGCTAAAACATACTAAAACTTTCTCCTTGAATACTGTTTTTTTCAATATAGTTATTTTCCAACACATAGATACTTTCTTATATACTTCATTGAATTTCTAAAAAAAACAATATTCTATCTGTTATAATTTCCTTTCAACCTAAATAACTTCTTTCAGGACATCTTTCAGTAAATTTCTATTGGAGAAAAGTTCTGTCTTTATGTATTTATTAGCCACCATTTTTGATGAATATTTTGCTGACTAAAGAATTCTATGTTACATGCTGATTTTCCGTAGCACATAAAAAGGTGTTATTCAATTGTCTTCTGGTTTCCATTGTTTCTAATAAGATGTAAGGAATTATTTTTAATACTGTTAATCTATATATAACATGCCTTTACTGTCTACCTGCTTTTAAAATTTTCTCAAAAGGACAGCAACTAAAATGGTGTGTTGGCAAGCCCTGGACATCTGTAGCTTAATTCTACTGAGGACACACTGACAGAAAAGGAATGCTGTAGAATCATCTCCATGGTAGGTGAAGGTAACACTAGGGGTGTTAACTCCATCACTTTTTGTCTGCCTGCTGAAGGGCAGTGCAGTCGTTAGCTGCTTTAGAGAAAAGCTACAGCTACAGGAGAGAAAGAATGAAGAAAGAAAACACAAGTTATTGAGTACCCAAATGTTTCCTGATTCTTCTAGGGTTAGCTTAACTGACACATAAGTTCATACAGGAGAATTATCATCATTATACTCAAATTATTTTAAGTACAATAATTTAATGAATGTTCTCCTTGCCAAACTATGATCTCCATGAGGGCAGGACTGCATTGCCTTTCTTCAGTATGTTCTTTGAATACAGTACATTAACTTTTGCAAAATGAATCAATAAATGAATAAATTTTGTTAGTTGCTTTCATATACTTTATCACTCTATATTTTCCACCCTCTTCATGAAGAAGACATTATAATCTCCAATTTGTGGACATAGAAACAAGAAGAAACTCCCCAATATCATATAGCTAAGAAATACATACCTAGGTCTGCCTTATCTCTACTTTCAACCTCTTCCAGGATAGTCTTCTGGTAAACAAGAGTATTTATACATAAAGATCTTACCACTTTAAATAAAATAAAATAAAATGCTCTCCTTAAGTTTTCAGTAGTTTGACTACTAGGTGCTTAGCTATGTTCTCCTTTTTATATACTCTTCTTGAAGTATTCTGAGATGCCCAGATTTCAAAAAGTGATTTGCTTGTCACTTTTTTTTTTTTTTTTGATTTTAGCCCACTGCTTCACAGTAATGTCAATTTAAGACCTCATATCTCTATGAGCTTAATATAGCTATAATTTTATAGATCATAAAGCCTTGTTCTCATAGTTAAGGTGGAAACAACTTTCTATTGCAACTTTTATATCTTAAGTCAAAGTGAAAGGCATTGACTTAAGCCTTTGATATTACTATCTGGTACATATAAAATCCTATAAGCATGCCTATGGTATCACAGAGAAAAAATCCTATGCAAAAACTAAAATTTATAACTGTAAGCTTATCAAATAAGCATCTAATTGTATATTTTCGTCAGGCTAAACATAGTCTTGAAGGAAAGTAATTCAACAAGATAAAATTGTGCATTTTAAAGTAAAAATAGATGAGAAGAAAATTGAATAACAATAAGAAAATAGCTATCATTATAATTTTCTTCTCCCTTTATTTATTTATTTTTTTTGACAGATTACTGCTCTATTGCCAGGCTGGAGTGTAGTGGCACAATCTTGGCTGACTGTAACCTCTGCCTCCTGGGTTCAAGTGATTCTCCTGCCTCAGCCTCCCGATTAGCTGAAACTGCAGGTGTGCACCACCACACACAGCTAATTTTTGTATTTTTAGTAGAGACAGGGTTTCACCATGTTGGTTGGCCAAGATGGTCTTAATCTCCTGATCTCGTGATCTGCCCACCTCAGCCTCCCAAAGTGCTGGGATTACAGGCCTGAGCCACCATGGCCAGCCAATTTTCATATTTAACTTATAATTAGGGAGGGAAAACAATTAGATAACTCTTTCATGTTAATTCCAACTCAGACTTTATCTCAGTACTGAGATATGAATGAATCTATATGTACATTAAGCATTTAAAATTGTAAAAATAATGCTTAAACAAAAAGTAGAATTAACCAAAATATTTTAATTCAAGGAACATCTCAAAATGTGTATATTCTAATAACTATAAGGAAGATCATACGAGTTTCATAAAGTTATTTTATGGTAAGTGAAGTACACCAATTATTTTCAATTAAATTATGAAAATGAGATGGTATACATAATTGTTACATGTGAGAAAATTCTTACCAGTATTAACAATGCTGGGAATTAAAAAGGATTATAGAAATTAGATCCATAATATTTCTAACTTTTATTTTACCTGTAGTGTGAGATGCTTCACTGCATTCCAAACTATTCCAATAAATTCCTTCATTCTTTCTTCAGGACTTCTACAGCCTTCAGATATATTCAACACAGCTTTAACAGGAACTGACAATGGGCGGGATTCTAAGTATAAGAATGGCTAATTATTTAATAGAAACATACCTTACAATCTCACAAAAATATGCCAAAAGTATTTTTAAGATTATTTTCTTGCTTAAAATTATACTTTTTATATGAGGTTACAAATTATTTTAGATCATTTTCTCTTATATAATTACTGATTTTTGTAAGTATTCAAAAATAAGTAGGCCTAATTTGTTAGAAGTCAGGATAGCATTCACTCTTGTTCACTCTTGTCAGGATTAGCGACTGGGAGGTAGACTTATGAAGTTATAATAATGGTCTATTTATTAATTACATACATGTATTCACTTTGTAAGAATTCATTAAGCAATAACAACTTGTCAAATTTTCAGTATAAAGGTAATACATCAATAATTTTTTTTCTTGGGAAAAAAAAACAACAGAAATTCAACTACAAAGCACTTGATTCACCCAAAATTGATAGAAAGTGAGTCTTCCCATATGTAAATGTTCCTGATAACAAAAGGTTACCCACATAATCTCTCAGTTTTAAAAAGTGATTCTGGCCAGGCACATTAGCTCACACCTGTAATCCCAGCACTTTGGGAGGCCAAGTCAGGCAGATCATTTATGGTCAGAAGTTTGAGACAAACCTGGCCAACATGGTAAAACCCCGCTTCTACTAAAAATACAAAAATTGGCCAGGCATGGTGACAGGTGCCTGTAATGCCAGCTACTTGGGAGGCTGAGGCAGGCGAATCACTTGAACCAGGAAGGCAGAGGCTGCAATGAGCTGAGATTGTACCACTACTGCCTGGGCGACAGAGTGAGACTCCGTCTTAGGGGGGAAAGAAGTGATTTTGGTAATAACCAAAAGAGGTATGTGATTACATAAAAGGAAGATTTTTTAATAAAATGAAATGTGATCTTCCAATCTCTATATTATTTAAAATTTTGTTCATCCAAAGTACAGAAATTAGAGGACTTCAACCATGTTTTCATGATGAAAGGTTTCAGGAATTATTTTAAACAATTGAGTAATTTATAATAATGTATTAAAACTAAACAGATTGATTTAAAACTGAACAGATACATTTATATAATACATCTTATGTTAATGCAAATACATAATTTATATGTAGTATGTTAGGTACTTCTAAAGTAGCATAAAATAAATAAGTCAGATATAAATAAATTAAATTTGAAGATTCTATTATGCTCTCCAAAATAAGTAGTACCATAGTACCACTAAGAGAATGACTAGTTGCCATATCCACTATACTTCCCCTCTCCCTGCAACTTGGTTAATATATGAGCATTGATACTATATTTTAAATACCTTAAGGGCATGAAGAATGGCCTTTTTCTTTCTCATAGTTATAATGTCATATGTGATGACATTGTGAATATCAGAAATTTTAAATAATGTTTATTAAAACAAACCAGTTTGGAAGAGATCCATGTAGAACTCATGGGGCAGAGCATTATAGTAGGCAGATGAAACAAAAACAACAAAAGCCTGGTTAGAGGTATGCTTGGGATTTTCAAGCAAAATATGGAAGCAAAGATGGCTTGAGCAAAGTGAGTAAGGGTGAGAAAAGTAGGAGATGATGTTAGAGCAATATAGGGACCAGATCATACAGGGCTCATGTAGGTTTTAGTAAGGAGATAGTTTTTACTTGAGGGAACTGGAACAGAATGACAGATTCTGAATTTAGTCATGGCACTGCTGAATATGCACTTTGAAAAAACTTCTCTGGCTGCTATGCAAAAAATATACTGCACGGATTAAGTGTTGAAAAAGAAAGACAGGTTGTAAGGAATGGTAGAAGCAACAAGGTGGCAAGAAGTGCTGAAACGCTGTATCCATTTCAAAGATATTGCCAATACAACTTACTGATGGATTAGATGTATAGTAGGAGAGGAAGCAAAGATGACTCCAAGGTATTAGGACTGAGCGACTGGAAGAACAGAGTTGTAGGAAAAGTACATTTGAGAGGAAAGGAAACTTAGTTTTAGATGTCTTAAACTGAGATTTCCATTAGCCATCCAAATAAAGATATAAGGTGTCAAAGAGATAAACAACTATATGAAAATAGAAAAGAATACGAATAGTTAATTTACAGAAAAAATATTTGGCTAGTAAACTTATGTTTTAAATGCTCAACTTTGCTAACAAAGAAATAAAAATTAAGATATCAGATATCCAACAATCAGACATAGTTTTCATCTGTTACACTGGCAAACATTTTAAAGAGTTAATTTTTGTAACTACAAAAGTTGTCATTGTTGAAGTCTCTTGTGAGAATGTTTTATATATGGGGAAAATAGGTATGCTGTATAGAATTGAATTGCAACAGAGGGCAATTTATAACTGTTACAAATTTAAACATGCCAGCCATGGTGGGTGGCTCATATCTATAATCTCAGTGCTTGGGGAGGTTGAAGCAGGTGGATCATTGAGAGTCAGGTGTTCGAGACCAGCCTGGCTAACACGGTAAAACCCCCTCCCTACTAAAAATATCAAGAAAAAAAAAAAAAAAAAGCCAGGTGTGGTGACATACGCCTGTAATCCAAGCTACTCGGATAGGTGAGACAGGAGAATTGCTTAAGCCCAGGAGGTCAAGGCTACAGTGGGCCAAGATTGTACCACAGCATTCCAGCCTGGGCAACAGAGTGAGACTGTTTCAAAAGAAAAAAAAAAAATTCAAACATGCTTGTTTTATAAAATAATCCAATTTCTAAGAATATGCTATGGAAAATTAAAAGATGTGAGGGTTCATGCACACAATTTATAAAAGATATTCAGCATCAGTGGAAATATCTGCAATAGCAAAAAAGAAAGAAAGGGAAGGAGAGAAGACGAGAGGAAATATGCTAAACAATTTATCTGTCCATCAAAAAAGAAACAGCCAATTTGGGAATATTTGCAATAAAGATTATAATTCAACCATTTAAAGATGAGGTACAGTTATATGACTAAAGGCATATTTTTGGTAACTCAAGAAGTGAAAAAACTCAAACATATGTTTGGTATAATCCAAATATGTTTTTGAAACAATATATTGAGTTTTATTTGTCTTCCCACACATAGAAAAAGTTATAGAAGAGTAAAAAAGCAAGCCTTTGACAGAGTACATCTGAGGACGGAAAAATGGAAATGATGATTGGTAAAGGAGTGGTAAGTATTTAACTTTTTACTATGTATATTTCAGAATTAATTAAATATGTTATAAAAATGAATTACCTGTTGTAATGTTTTAAAACATATATATTAATGTACTTTGTACTTATTAGAGCTTCTTGTTTTTCTTTTGTACCTTAGTAATTATTAGAAGAAAATGTCTACCTAATATTGCTGTATAGCTCTAGCTATCTAAGTAATTGGTTTAAAATGCAGACCAAACTTTAAAATTACTTGAAACTATGAATAGCAAAGGTTTCCACAAAAGTCTCACAGTCAAAATTTCAAAACCTACTGACGCAAAATATTAGTACTATATAAGTACTATTATTACCATTTGAAAATAAATCTATGTAATACATGCTAGCATTTCCAAGCAGTATGGGCACTAATAAACTACTATCAAGAAATATTTCCAGTCACCACTAACCAAAACAGCTACATGTTTTTTGTAAATACTATATTCTCTAATGAAAAATTTAGAGACCTTGAAATCTACATGTGGCTTAAAAGTGTTGTTCAAATTGGTATGACAAACATAATCAGTTGAAAATTCTCATGAAGTAACATAATCTAGTTATTCAAAGGGTAAAAGTACACTATTTTGGATATACTAGTTTTCAATTCATTATATTTATAAAAGATAATAGAAAGACAAGTTTCTAAAAAAAGAATATTTTCTGTAGCTAAGTGTATTTTAAAGGCAAGACAGGTATACTTATAAAACTCTGTCAAGCTTGATGCCCATCGACCTTATTTAATCAAAACATCTACAGCACCTAGTACATGCCAGGCACTGCTACAAGTGCTTTATAAATATTAACCTGTTTGTCTAGGCATGGTGGCTTATAGCTGTAATCCCAGCACCTTGGGAGGCTGAAGCAGGCAGACTGCTTGAGCCAAGGCGTTCAAGATCACCCTTGACAACATGACGACATCCTGTCTCTACCAAAAAAAATTATAAAAATTAGCTGGGTGTGGTGGTAGATGCCTGTATGCCTAGTCACTTGGGAGGCTGAGGCAGGAGGATCTCTTGAGCCTGGGAGGTGGAGGTGGCCGTAAGCTGAGTTCATGCCACTGCACTCCAGACTGGGTGACAAAGTCTCAAAAAAATAATAATAATAACCTATTTAACCCTTGTAACTACCTGACAGGAAATATACTATTTTCAGACTCTTATTATCACCATTTTCAGATAGGAAAACTGATGACAAAGAGGTTAAGTAGCATCTCAAGTCACTCAGCTGGTAAGTGGCAAGACAAGAATATTAATCTAAGCAGTCTGGTTCCAGGGTCCATCCTCTTAACTACTATGTTATGCTGCCTTTTCTATTATTCCATCTCCATATGATGACTTCTAGTTCTATCAAATATATAATAAATGTATAACATTTCTACTATGGATCATGGACAATAGTTCAGAAAACATAATATTTATTCATTCCCACTAGAGCTATATAAAGCCTAAATTTAATATGGTAATGTGATTTCAAACATAGCTATTACACTTTCAGTTTTCAACCAATAAGTAAATAAATTTGAGACTCGAATTTCAGAGGTTCAAATAACATATCAACAAATATGTCTTGGGGATGAACCATTCAACTTGGCACAATATTATTCCTTCATTGGAATGATATTCTAATGAAGAAATAATGGAAAAAGTACTACCCCTCTAGAGCCTGGCAAAATTCTGACTTAATTCCATGTAACATATCATTCTTCATGGTACAACTTTAAATGTTTGAATATGTGTCTCTCTAAAGGAGCAGCTGAACATAGTGATATGGTGCAGCAAGAAACAGTAGCAGCTAATGGTCAAACACTGATGACACATTCTGGTTATGTCATCTTC